AAAAAAATGTAACCATCCTACACTTGCGGTCCCTAATTCCTTGCAGAAAGTGCCCAAAAAAGAAGGTGGAGATAATAGAATCATGTAACGATCCTACACCTGAGGTCCTGAACTCCTTGCAGAAATTGCTTAAAACTTAAAAAGAAGGTAAAAATGAGATAGACAAATGTAACCATACTACACCTGAGGCCTATAATTCCTTGCAGAAACTGCTTAAAAGAGAAGCTAAATATAAGATTTCCAAAAAACACCATCCTATACATAAGGTCCATAGTTCCTTGCAGAAAGTGCTCGAAAAAGAAGGTAAAGCTAAGATTGAAACATGTAACCATCCTACACCTCAGGTTCCACAGTTCCTTTCAGAATCAACATGGCACATGTGTAGATTGTTATTATATTATGGTTGGAGGGTCATAAGGGGGGCTAGATAGGAACCGTGGCAGAAGGGTGTTTAAGTTCGATCATGTAGGTACATAAAGGATCATAAAGGTGATTTACCATGGGGACCCGATAAAGGTTCATTTGAGGTCCTTTTGAGGTTCATTTGAGGTCCTTTTGAGATCTGTAATCTGTATTTGTATTTTATTGTCTTGTCCATAGGTAGGAGGTAAACTTGAAGACCTTCAACATCTAATTTTACATTTATTTGAAGTTCAAGGATTTTCCAGTAATTTGCAAGGAACAATATACCTTCTATACCTCTATATTACATGTGGAAATGTTAAGAAAGGTGTAGAAAAAGTGTAGAATGTATTGGAAATACTAGGCAATTGGGGACCTACGCGCTTCCAGTTTGCATTTTTGATTTTCTGCAATTCTGCAGCTATTTGCAGACCTGCACACTATTTTTTACGTGTGTTTTTCATTTTCTTATTTTTTTTCAAAAATGCAATGGACAATATTGAACGCCCCCCTCCGTTTTTTGATAAAATAAATGAAATCCCGTAAAGAATGAGGGGACCTACTAAAATGAAATCTTGCAAATAAGATGCAATAAAAAAAGATATAAATGCTTGCATTTAACAGGACCACCTCCCTCAAAAACGTCTAAATTTATCTTGCAATTTGGGTACGCCCCCCTCCTTAAAAGGGCAGTGATATTATATGCATTTTCGTTTATTATGTTTATTTGCGCTGAACTCAAAGCAGTTGTGTCACGTCTAGGTATGCCATCGGTGCCATACAAGCTGCGGGCCTGGCAAACGAGAGCGTGATCATTGATGGAGAAAGGACGGGCTCTGGCAGCACAGGCTGCACATGAATCCTGAAATCGTCTTATTGGCTTCGGGCATTGGTCACACTGTTGTCCCTATGTGACGTTGTCTTTTTTTTGCACAAACTCCACATGACATGACATGTCGCCACAGTACAGTCCTGTCCTGGGCCCGGTCGCAGTACCTTTTCCTTGCCGCTGCAAAGTAGCACATATTTCGCCGGCTACACCTTCTTCAGCGGCTCGGTGCCGGTACCGATTTGCGATACATGCCTCGGGCTTTCTGAACACGCCCCAGCATACTAATTACATACCCTCAAGTTGGAAGGTTCTAGAATGCCCCCCCTGGGGATAAACACGGAGGGTTCTAGAATGAAAAAAATCATTGTAGCACCTCCGGTCCCGTAAGCATTGTAGAACCTTGGAAGCTTCTATAATAGCATATGATGATATATGGTGCAGGTTTTGTGCAGGTATTTGTGATCCCTAGTGAGCCGGTGGTTGAAAGCAATTTGCCAGTTTGATCCTCCTGTTGAAACTATGGTTGTGGTGATTTACAAGGCTCGATTGCACTATGTCGCAACAATATTGCCGAGCCAATGCCATCCGGCGCAAAAACCCAGAAGGATTATACACAGATACACGGTAGAAAAATTGACAAATTCACAGTTCAGTTTGTTTCTTGATCTCAGTACATGGTAAGAACATTTCTGACTGGGGGAACTTGTGGGTTCAGCTCAGTTTTGAAGTGGTTAGCTGTACCTTTACCTTTGCATTCACCCCAACAATGCATGGTTTTTTGAGTTTATTTTTTGCAGGTTTTCTTCTTTGGCCGCCGCCTGAGGCACACATAAAGTGGCTTTTGCATGTTGTGTCACAAGAGGCTGCAAAATCCCGCGTCGAAAATGTACATGCATTTGCTAGAGATTTGCATGCATTTGGGCTGTTCTTTTGATTTAATTCCGAAAAGGCGTGGGCCAAATATTGTCCAGCTCAACATCATTCAACATCCCTGAACGAAAGGGCCCAATAGGTGAAGTGAGCGGCAAATTGGTAGGTAGAAATTTTCCCCACTGGAAACAGCTGTAGTGACAGACAAACGAATTTCAGGGATAATCAAGTCAGCTAAAACTGTTCCTGCTATCTTTTGTTCTTCTGCAAGTGGACGAATGCCTGTGCAACAAATGGACATATCTAAGCTATCTAAGCATACAACAGTTCTAAAATGGTTTCCCCTTGCAGTAGCTGGTACCTCACACGTTTGGCCAAGCAGGAAACCATTCCAGAACACTTCCCAAAGATAAATACCTCCAGGGGTAGGTAGGCAGGTACAACCCAATGCCAATGAATTTCAGGGGTAGTCAAGTCAACTAAAACTGTTTCTGCCATCTTTTGTTCTTCTACAAGTAGACCAGTGCCTGTGCAACAAATGGACATATCTAAGCTATCTAAGCATACAACAGTTCTAAAATGGTTTCCCCTTGCAGTAGCTGGTACCTCACACGTTTGGCCAAGCAGGAAACCATTCCAGAACCCTTCCCGAAGATAAATACCTCCAGGGGTAGGTAGGCAGGTACAACCCAATGCCAATGAATTTCAGTGCTGATCAAGTCAGCTACAACGGTTTTTTTTGCCATCTTTTGTTCTTCTACAAGTAGACGAATGCCTGTGCCACCAATAAACATATCTAAGCTATCTAAGCTATCTAAGCTATCTAAGCATACAACAGTTCTAAAATGGTTTCCCCTTGCAGTATATAGCTGGTACCTCGCACGTTTGGCCAAGCAGGAAACCATTCCAGAACCCTTCTCAAAGATAAATACCTCCAGGGGTAGGTAGGCAGGTACAACCCAATGCCAATGAATTTCAGGGATAATCAATTCAGCTAAAACTGTTTCTGCCATCTTTTGTTCTTCTACAAGTAGACCAGTGCCTGTGCAACACATGAACAAATGAAAGTTACCTAAGCATGCAAATGGTCTAAAATGGTTTCCCCTTGCAGTAGCTGGTACCTCACACGTTTGGCCAAGCAGGAAACCATTCCAGAACCCTTCCCAAAGATAGATACCTCCAGGGGTAGGTACGCAGGTACAACCCAATGCCAATGAATTTCAGGGATAATCAATTCGGCTAAAAACTATTTCTGCCATCTTTTGTTCTTCTACAAGTAGACCAGTGCCTGTGCAACAAATGAACAAATGAAAGTTACCTAAGCACGCAAATGGTCTAAAATGGTGCCCCCCCCTTGCTGTAGCTAGTATTTCACACGTTTGGCCAAGCAGGAAACCATTCCAGAACGCTTCCCAAAGATAAATACCTACAGGGGTAGGTAGCAGGTACAACCCAATGCCAATGAATTTCAGTGCTAATCAAGTCAGCTAAAACGGTTTCTGCCATCTTTTGTTCTTCTACAAGTAGACCAGTGCCCTGTGCAACAAATGAACAAATGAAAGTTACCTAAGCATGCAAATGGTCTAAAATGGTTTCCCCTTGCAGTAGCTGGTATTTCACATGTTTGGCCAAGCAGGAAACCATTCCAGAACCCTTCCCAAAGATAAATCCTCAAGGTGCTTTGTCTACTCTGTGCCATAGCTGCCCAGCCCCCCAAACATCCCAAAAGAACATGTGTCCAGTCAGCGGTGTCCTGATGAGGGTAGGCAAACTTACCATTTTTTAAGTGACAGCTGCGACAGCTGTAGTTCGACACACAGCTGCTTGCTGATTCCGCATGTGATGATTTGTTCCTTGTTTTTCTCCTTTGACGCAAAAACACTATTGTTTTGAAACAACTGCACGTAGGAGTTTGCTGTTTTATTGAAAATTTATCTGGTTGGACATGTCTGCATAAAATTAAACAAACAGTCGCACGGGAAATAGAACGAGTCCAAAACTAAATTCGTTTGAACAGGGGTGACTTAGGGGACATTCTGAAAGCATTTGGGTTCGGGTGTACTTTAATGGTTTGGCAAGAAAGGAAGCAAAGAGCGCAGGCAGTAGGTAGTAAATGATACGACCATCTGTGGCCGCCACCCACCGAAAAATGTTGTGGAGTATCATAGAGTGCTCTTTGCAGTGTTTTTTCCCCACAACATTGTGTGGGGTTCTTGCTTTTGATTCTGTATCCCGGTCCTCCTCCTCCTCCTCCCGCCTCCTCCTCCAGCCTCACACACACCTTGGTCAAACACCATCTTTCCAACACCCTCTTTCACATTCCATCTTTCACACACAACTTTGTCAACCGTCATCTTTTACACGCAACTTTGTCAAACACCATCTTTCAAATACCATCTTTCACACACCCTCTTTCACATTCCATCTTTCACACACAACTTTGTCAACCATCATCTTTCACACACTCTCTTTCACACAACTTTGTCAAACACCATCTTTCACATACCATCTTTCACACGCCGTCTTTGTCAACCACCATCTTTCCCACGCTCTCTTTCACACACAACTTTGTCAAACACCATCTTTCAAATACCATCTTTCACACACCCTCCTTCACTTTCACATACAGTCTTTCACACACCCTCTTTGTCAACCATCATCTTTCACACACTCTCTTTCACACACAACTTTGTCGAACACCATCTTTCAAATAACGTCTTTCACACACCCTCTTTCACATTGGCACTTATGGCACTGGGTGGCACGGGTGATGCCGCGGCACTTTGCGTGGCAGGCGTGGCACTTGGCGACATCCACCTTCGTTTCACGTGGCAGGCGCGGCACTTGGCGACATCTACCTTCGTTTTGCGTGGCAGGCGTGGCACTTATGGCACTGGGTGGCGCGCTTGGGTCGGTTTTGGTCGCGGGTGACGCCGGTGACGCCGCGGCACTTTGCGTGGCAGGCATGGCACTTGGCGACACCCACCTTCGTTTCACGTGGCAGGCGCGGCACTTGGCGACATCTACCTTCGTTTTGTGTGGCAGGCGTGGCACTTATGGCACTGGGTGGCGTGCTTGGGTCGGTTTTGGTTGCGGGTGACACTGGTGACTCCGCGGCACTTTGCGTGGCAGGCGTGGCACTTGGCGACATCCACCTTCGCTTCACGTGGCAGGCGCGGCACTTGGCGACATCTACCTTCGTTTTGCGTGGCGGGCGTGGCACTTTTGGCACTGGGTGGCGCGCTTGGGTCGGTTTTGGTCACGGGTGACGCCGGTGACGCCGCGGCACTTTGCGTGGCAGGCGTGGCACTTGGCGACATCCACCTTCGTTTCACGTGGCAAGCGCAGCACTTGGCGACATCTACCTTCGTTTTGCGTGGCAGGCGTGGCACTTATGGCACTGGGTGGCGCGCTTGGGTCGGTTTTGGTCACGGGTGACGCCGGTGACGCCGCGGCACTTTGCGTGGCAGGCGTGGCACTTGGCGACATCCACCTTCGTTTCACGTGGCAGGCGCGGCACTTGGCGACATCTACCTTCGTTTTGCGTGGCAGGCGTGGCACTTATGGCACTGGGTGGCGTGCTTGGGTCGGTTTTGGTCGCGGGTGACGCCGGTGACGCCACGGCACTTTGCGTGGCAGGCGTGGCACTTGGCGACATCCACCTTCGTTTCACGTGGCAGGCGCGCGGCACTTGGCGACATCTACCTTCGTTTTGCGTGGCAGGCGTGGCGCTTATGGCACTGGGTGGCGCGCTTGGGTCGGGGTGACGCCGCGGCACTTTGCGTGGCAGGCGTGGAACTTGGCGACATCCACCTTCGTTTCACGTGGCAGGCGCAGCACTTGGCGACATCTACCTTCGTTTTGCGTGGCAGGCGTGGCACTTATGGCACTGGGTGGCGTGCTTGGGTCGGTTTTGGTCGCGGGTGGCGCCGGTGACGCCGCAGCACTTTGCGTGGCAGGCGTGGCACTTGGCGACATCCACCTTCGTTTCACTTGGCAGGCGCGGCACTTGGCGACATCTACCTTCGTTTTGCGTGGCAGGCCGGCACATTATGGCACTGGGTGGCGCGCTTGGGTCGGTTTTGGTCGCGGGTGACGCCGGTGACGCCGCGGCACTTTGCGTGGTAGGCGTGGCAAACATGATCTTTCTTTCGTCACAAACACACACATCACTTGCACACACACCATCTTTCACACACAACTCTGTCACACACACACACATGATCTTTCTTCGTCACACGCAATCTTTCACATAGCACTTAATCACACACAACTGTTTTAACTTTGGTTCCTTCACCACCTCCTTTGTCTTTCCTTCCTTCCCCATCCCTGCTACAACATTTGGTGCCCATTATTGGAAGAAGTTGACTTGTGGGGTTATCCGGTCCTTTAATTTTTGACTCGCCTCATGTTGATCTATTTTTTGGGGGGCGCAGATTTCCTCATTGTTTTTTCCCTGAAATGCAATGGTTTCAACAAGGATTTTTGAAATGTGTTTTTTATTTTTTTCAGGGTGGAAGATACCATTTTAGAACCCATTTTAGAACCCAAAAAAGGAATAGCTGCCAAACATTTTGGGTTCTAAGACCCACCTTGTAGATTCCATTGTAGAAACCATTTTGGGGTTCTAAAATGGTCCCTAAGGGGGGTTGAAGCAACTTGAGAGGATCTAATTACTCGATTACATACATACATACATGCATGCATGCATGCATGCATCCATACTTCCATACCTCCATACATCCATCCATCCATACATACATACATAGATACATAGATACATAGTGGCATGACATGACGTGACATGACGTGACATGACGTGATGACATCACATACATACATATGTAGATAAATAGATAGATAGATAGATAGATAGAATAGAAAGATAGATAGATAGATATATAGATATATAGATAGATAGATAATTAGATAGATAGATAGATAGATAGATGGATAGATAGATAGGTAGATAGATAGATAATTAGATAGATAGATAGATAGACAGATAGATAGACAGATAGATAGACAGATAGATGGATAGATGGATAGATGGATAGATGGATAGATGGATAGATGGATAGATGGAGAGATGGAGAGATGGAGAGATGGATAGATGGATACATGGATAGATGGATAGATGGATAGATGGATAGATGGATAGATGGATAGATGGATAGATGGATAGATGGATAGATGGATAGGTAGATAGGTAGATAAATAGATACATAGATGGATAGATAGATAGATAGACACAGACATACGTACATACATACATACATACATACATACACACATACATACATACATGCATATTTCATTGCATGGCTGCACGTGGCAGTATTGACATGACACCCATGTCATCCAGCGTTGGGTACATTTCATTGGCATGAATCGCAGGGGCCTCAAGTGCTCGAGAAAAGTAGCAGCGACTGAGACCCTGCTTGGAATTTCAGGTGAAGATCTTTTTTGTTTCCGCTATTGGTAGCGGAGCCGTCTCCGCGGTGGGCAGCTCATGGATCGCCATCTCTGGGAAGAGATCGCGTGCACGTGGCAGTGCTCTTGTTGGTGGAATAGAGATCCAGGGCTATGGCAGGTCAAGGTTCAGACCATCTGGTTCCGTAAGGTACTTTTCTGGTGATGCAGAAGACAGTAAGGATTACAAACTCTGGAAAACTTGGTGCTGCAATAAGTTGCTCAAGCTGGGCAAGCTCCCAAAGAATGCCTGAGGCTCTTACATCCATACCCTCCTCAGTGGGAAAGCGCTGGAAGCAATTGAGCATCTGGAGGTGGGCGATGAAGGTGGCGATCAAGTCATCTGGTCTCTGCTTGAGGCCCGGTTTCCCCAGAAAGAGAAGGTGGATGAGCTTGGTGAAATCTTGGGAGACGCGTTCGCTTTGCGTGTTCGTGAAGGTGAAACTATGAAGATGTGGGCAGCACGTGGTCAAGAGGTGTTTGATAGATGCGAGCGCAAAACTGGTGTCAGTTTGCCTGACCAGGCAAGAGGGTGGATCACTTTGCACCGCTCAGGCTCAGGCCTATCCGAAGAACAGAAGGCAGTTGTCATTGCTTGTGCTGGTGGTGACTTGAGCCCATCAGCGTGGCTCTGCCATCGTGCTATCCTGATCTGATTGTGAAGAAAAAGGCAACTGCAGCAGTCGAAGAATTCCCTGTCGAAGATCTGGATGAATCATCTCAGGTTGAGGCCTGATGACATGCAAGCAGCTGATGTCGAGGGTGATGATTTTCCCGGGACCGATGTGGCCGAGGTTCTAGCGACCGCCTGGCGTGAAAAACGTCAAGAGCTGAGCAAACTGCAGAAATCAAGACAGTTCGGCAAGGCGAAGGAGGTTCGTCGAGCATTCAGAGTTGAAGTAGAATAAGTCTAAGTAGAAGAACTCAAAGCCAAGACATCTTGTCACAAGTACGAAAAAAGAGGGCATTCGGCCTGTGAATGCACATCTGGCAAGAGCGCAGGTAAAGGTTCCAAGGCTTCTGGATCAACATCAGGTTCAACTTCTACTGGTGCAGCTGCGGCGGTTAGTCATGATGATGCCTCAGTCTCCGATTCACCATAGATGTTGGATCGCTTGCGTGATCGTGCTAAGGAGTCCACTCCTTTGCATAAAGTAGCTCTGGTGTCAAGTCCTGGATGTGGTGTGCTTGATTCAGGCTGTGGGCGCGCCATTATCAGCGCCGACACCCTTGATGCCTTTCAGAAAATCTGGGATCGTATGGGGATGCCCACGCCAGAGTTTGTCAGCGAGACCCATCAGTTCAAGTTTGGCAATGGTGATGTTGAGACGTCATCGAAGGTCGTCCTGATGCCCGTCACCTTGGCTGGCAGGAAGGGAATCATCCGAGCTTCTGTCGCGCGAGGCGAAGCACCCTTGTTGATTTCGAGATCCGCTCTGAAGAGGCTGGGTGCCTCTCTTGACTTCAGCAGTGACACATTGAAGCTGTTTGGAAAAGAAGTCCTCTTCAGGGGAATCTAGCTGGACAATACGTAGTGCACTTGGTAGCTGATGATGCCCAGATGTGCCCGGGGAACTACCGGCTCCGTGTCATGAGCCATCACCTGATGTTCCTGTGGAAGCTGATGCATCTCCTCAATCAGGTTAGCATGTGGGTTCAGGAAAATGTGGGATGAATAAGATTCCCATGGTATCTAATGATGGCCCCCGCTGGGATCAGGAGGTTCGAAGGATTGTTCGATCTGCGTTTAGGTTCAAAGCGATTGCCGACCACTCGTTTGCATCCGGCACCAATCAGAAGATTCGATACACACCCTTCCTGTGAGGAACAACATGTCATCACATAGTTCCCGCAGGTTTCGCCAACATGTCCAGGATGAATGCAGAGAAGTCTCCATGGAAGCCGACATGTGGCCAGACACGTCAGCTCCAGTCCCAGGTCAAGATGTCTCATGAGGTCTGCTCGTCCAAGTGCCGTTCAGAGAATTATCGCTCTCACCTGATGGAAGTTTTCTCTCCTCCAAGGCTTGTGCCAGCGGTTGAGACTGGAGGTTTCAGGGCTAGGTCGTATGATCTCAAAAGTGGATATGACTTGTCCAAGGGCAGTGATCGAAAGCGAGTTGAAGAAGACTTAATCCAAAACCGTCCTGGTTTGTTGGTTTTGAGCCCGCCATGCACACATGAAGGGGGATGGTTCAATCTCAATGGCAGCAAATTTGATGGACTTGAGTATCTGCAGTTGAGGGCCCGAGCTGACTCATGAGTTGCAGCCTGCCCCTTCCGTCCCGGGACAGGAAACCATTCATGTGCCTGAGGTGCCTCTGAACGAAGTGCAGCTCCGCCTGGCATCCCAGAAACTAGTTATGGTCCCATAACACGTAGGGATGATGTAGGGTAACGGGTAAAGATGGTCCCATGTCTTTGTTTCGTCCGCCAGCCATGCGACAGGATGACTTGATTGAAATCATGAAAGAAGTTGTTCCCGAACTGATTGAGCAAACACTTCGTTCTGAAGAAGGTGATTCATCATCAGTCAACAGGCCTGCTGCCGATGTTGAGCGCTCTCCATCCGATGCTGCCGAACGGGTAGTTCCCGTGCAAGAGTAAATGAGGTTTTGAACGTCCAAGATTGTAGTAGTTTCCTTGCAATGCTTGAGCAGTGAGCAGGCTCCCTCAGAAGTGTTCATGGCTGAATACCTTAAGAAAAGTTGGCCAAGGAGTTCCCCATAGCCGTGGCCGTAACACCCCTGAAGTACAAAAACTGGTTGGTGAAGGCAAACTGTTAAACTGCTTGAAAGGCTGACGTGAAGGTCCACTATGGGAAAGCCGCCAAACGTATCAAAAAGGAATTTGCTCACAGGTTCATCAGCAGTCGTTTTGTGCTTACGCGAAAACCCATAGAAGAAGGCAAGGCAGTGGACCCAACAGATCACACCACCTATGTGGTCAAAGGAAGATGGTGCCTACAGGGACACTTAGATCCGGATTTGAACATCAAAGCAGAAGAGGGCCTTTTGAAGTCTCCTACTCTTAGTCAAATTGGTCGCATGATGTTGATGCAGATCATCTCGTCCAAGGGCTGGAATCTTCAATTGGGAGACATCAAAGGTGCTTTTCTTGAAGCTGGTCCTTTGGATCCAAAGTTCAAACCGTTGTACGCCCACCAACCTCCAGGCATGCCGCCAGATGTGGTCATCGAAGTGCTAGGAAATGTATATGGGCAAAACGATGCACCAGCAGCTTGGTTCAAGGAGTTTGACACGGTAATTCAATCCCTTGTTTGGCAGCCAAGTAAACTGGATCCCTGTTGATACAACTTGCGCGAAGGTTCACAACTGGTTGGTGCACGTGGTGTGCATGTAGATGGCACGACTCTAGGTGGGCCTGGCAGTCGTTTTGAAGACACCATTCAGCAGCTGAAGCGCAGATTTCCGTACAGGAAGTGGAGACAGCGAGAAGGGGAGTTCTGTGGTGCCTGGTATCGACAGTCTGAAGACGGTAGTGTTCATATGTCCATGAAGTCTTGTGCTGATAAGGCCCACAAATATCCCTAAGAATAGTTCTCCTGATGATCTCCTGCCTGACTCTCAAGTCAGAATCCTCCGTGCTGTGAATGGAAGCCTTAATTGGCTGTCGTCTCAAAGCAGACCTGACCTATCCGTACCAGCCTTAGCCAGCAAGCATTCCCGAAACCGACCGTCCAAGACTTCCGTCGGGCAAACCAAGCCGCGCATAGAGCCAAACTGGAAAGTGAGTTGGATTTTTTTTCAAACCCATCGACTTGGATAAATTGACGGTTGTTTGCCATTCTGATGCAGCATGGTCTAATGTAGGTTCTCATACCCAGGCAGGTTATGTGATAGCTTTTACTGAAATCTCTCTGCAAGATGGTGCTCTTGCGACTTGGTGTCCTGCTACATGGCGTGCTTCCGTTTGATCAGGGCAGTCAGTAGCACTTTGGCAGCAGAATCTCAGGCGCTGTCAATAGCGTCCAGCACAGTTGGGTGGCTACTCCTGCTTTTGTCCAAAACCAGCGATGGACCGCTGGAAGTTGCTAAGTGCCGGCAAGTGCTGCAAAGCAGGCGCCCAATTTTGGTGACAGATTGCAAATCATTGTATGATCATCTTCACAGTCCTTCTTTGCCCACCTCAATTGAGTATCGCAGGACACGTATTGATGTCGTGATCATTCGTGAAAGCTGTAAACCGATGAAAGCTCATGTCTGATGGGTACCGACACCGCATGCTTGCTGATGCATTCACCAAAGATGCTGGGGACCCCACGGACCTACTCCGGTCATGTTTGAAGTGTGGTTTGTATCAAATCTCTGCCGAAGAAACAGTTTTGGAAAACCAAGCCTTAGAAAAGAAACATCAACTTCAGCGAAGAACAAATGCTGCTACCGAGCATGGTTCCAAATTAGGTGCTTCCAGTCCGTAGTGTGATGGAACAGTTTTGATTTTGGAGACATAGGTAGAAGCGGGGATTTCGTGAAATCAGTTGTTGCTGCAGGTCTCATTCACTCATTCGTTCCACACCTGCCGAGCCGATTTCCTGCGAAGCAGCAATGCCAGTGTGATTACCCAATAGCTCTGGTTAGACTAAATCCTACCTATTAGGTTCTTCTAGTTTTTAAGGTTATTTTCTATCTATTAGGCTGTTTCATTTCTGACTATTAGGTTGTTTTCCTGTGTGCCTAAATAGTCTATTCAGTCGAATAACCTAAAAACTGCCTTGTTTGACACTGTGTGTTTCTTTAAAAAAACTATGTTTGCAACATTTTAAGCTGAAGACACACAATATTTCTATGTTTGTTTTGGGTTTTTTTAAACTCAATTTTTGTGTTAGGAAATATGTTCTGAAGTGTGCCTTCATTGTTGATGATATACGTGGGTCTGAAGTGAATCTTTTAGTGTTAATTACAGTGATTTCTTGTAGAAAGTGTATCTGAAAAGTGTATCTGAATCCAGTTGACAGCCTCATTTTATCAGAGAAAATGAGCCAAATCAGAAAATGTTTCGTTAGAGAGTACAGATATAGAAACAAAAAATGGAAATTGCTCAACGAAAAGATAGCCAAAAAACATGTTGTTCATTGAAAAAAACCTACAGGAAAAAATGTTATTCATGTAAATAACCTACAGGAAAAAATGTTATTTGACCATTCTGACTATTAGGTAAAACAGTTGTTTTACCTAATAGTCAAAAGCAAATTTTAACTAGTAGTCAGCAAACACGATATAACCTAATAGGTAGGATTTAGTCTAACCAGAGCTATTGAGTAGCTTTTGTTTTTGCCACTTTTGCCCTGCATAGTTTTCGTTTTTGTGCGACTCACGGCCTCTCTTAGCTCCGCCACATCCTCGATGATGAAAGACCTCCTGCGTCATGCTCGCGCAGAGGGCTCACTGGATATGTTGTTGGCCGAACTGTCGGCTGATCATGGTGATGGATTTGAGTTGATTTCTGAGAAAGAAACGGTGGTCTCCGGAACTGATGACTCCAAGAATGTGAGCGGCTCACCCTTTTCCTATGAGAAGAACCTGCCTGCCGGCATGCGTGATTTGGAGCATTGGGGCAAGACCATCCTCCAGGTCGGCAAATATGAGAAGGCTGGCCTGTGCTATGACCAATTTCCACCAGTGACCGCAAGGAGCATATCAGTTACTCTGCATGGATGCTGGCCCAGAAGTATCGCATGGACCTCACCGTCCAGGTCAAAGATTTCATCCGCTATTTGCATGTCAAGAGCCTTTCCGAGTCGTCTGAGGAGTTGTGCTTTGATGATAGCACAACGCGTCGCAAGATGAGAGCCTATATGGTTGCTGAAGAGGGCATAGATGTAGCCAATTGAAACTGCAACTGAAGTGAGTCCCTTTTCCTTCTGACGTCTTTGAATGCCGGATGCATCAGAAGCCACTTCTTGGCCCTGCAGAAAAAATACAATATAGGGAGTTTCTTTGCATGGCTGCACGCGGCAGTATTGACATGACCATGACAACCGTGCCATCCAGCGCTGGGTACATATCACTGGCATTAATCGCAGGGGCCTCAAGTGCTCGAGAGAAGTAGCAGCGACTGAGACCCTGCTTGGAATCTTCAGGTGAAGATCTTTCTGTTTCCGCTACATCCATCCATCCATCCATCCATCCATCCATCCATCCATACATACATACATACACACATACATACAATAGATGCATACATTACACACATTACACACATTACACGCATTACACACATTACACACATTACATGCATTACATGCATTACATGCATTACATGCATTACATACATTACATACACTATATACATACATACATGCATGCATACATACATACATACATAGATACATACATACATACATGCATACATACATACATGTTTACATACATACATACATACATACACACATACATGCATACATGCATACATACATACATACATCCATACATACATACATACATCCATACATACATACATACATGCATGCATGCATGCATACATACATACATACAGACAGACATACATACATACATACATATACTCAAAACTTGGGCATTGCAAATAGCATGTTCTCATGTCATGACAACTTGACATTTCCAACGCAGGTGCACCTTTAGCGACTCAAGTCAAAGTGCTGCTTTCCAATTTAGCAGCGGATCTTGGTTTGCTACACGTCCCCAACGTTCAGCTTGCCACCTTGCCCCGTGCCATAGCTAGCAACTGATCTTGGTCTTCACGACCTACGACACGCCCCTGCACTACGAGCACTACGATCGCCTTGGTCTTTTTGACCCACGACATCTTGCTCTACTGGCAGTTGGACGCCTTCCCCTACGACCAGGTGAGCCTCGAGCACGACGGCTGGGTGAGATTGACTGACCTCTTGCCTTACAGCCAGGCGAACCTCGAGCTCCACGGCTGGGTGATTTGGTGGTGACCTCTGCTGGACTGTGGTGAAGCTGGAGCTTGGTAGCCCTACTTCCTGGACAATGGCTACTACAACTGGCTTTGGTCCAACACCGGCGGAGTGCCGTTGGAGGAATATCGGAGAGAGATACCTCCCGGTTGGGACCCTGCGATGGCTGCCAGCTATCCACTGAAGACGCACCTTGAACGTGTAAAGGTATGATATAAACTATGGGATGGACCAGATGAGTCGGTGGGTCCGTTGTTGGCTGGCCGCTTGCGCGGCTATAGCCATGAATTTGAGGCTGCCAACACCGCACGGTGGCATGGACATCGGTGATGCAGCCCTGATTCGACTCCCAGTGGACTGAGTGGAGGATCCGACAACTGGTGAGGTGATACAACACCCATTGCATCTGGTGCCCAAGCTCTGCTATCAGCATTCCGAGCAGCGTTTGGTGAGGCAGAACAGCTCTTCGCGACGAAGGCCTTGGAGACGTTCTTTGAGTTCCGCAGGGGACGCTTGACGTTGCCGGAGTGGAGCGTTCAATGGCAGTTGAACTATGAGGAGGCCGTGACCCATGCTGGATTAGATGTGAGCAGGTGGCAAAGAGGTATCTGTTTTGCAAATCCAGCGGCCTTGGACAGAAATCGATAGACGATCTTCTTCATGGGGACATGAGAAGGGTCGAAGAGTTCAGAACGCTGATGTTGAGGATGGCACACCGCACTGACAACCATGGTGCCAACCTCTATTCCGAGGACATCCACAACAACCAGTTCTTCTTGGACGAGGACTATGAATCCAGCTGGAGCGGCATCAGCGACTCATGGTTCGATGGATCATGGGACGAGAACTGCTTCAACGACGGGCTCTATGCCTGGTATGGTGACCACAAGGCCTGGGGCGACGGCGAGGATCACTCCGAGGATTGGCAAGATTCTGGATGGCAAGAATCTGGTTGGGCTGAAGATGGAGAAGCCCCGAACAAGATCAATCTGAGGAGACTCAAAACACTGCCGAGGCCCAGGGGTTCTTCAAAGGAAAAGGAAAAGGTACGCTGACGGGCCTTGGGTGCCGAACTTGCGGTTCCAAGTGGCACAACGCTCATTCTTGTCCTCTTGGAGATCGACAGCCAGGTTTCAACAACAAAGGCAAGGGCTATGGCAAGTCCAAAGGATCTGGATATGGCAAGGGCAAAGGCAAGTTTCCACGAAAAGGATTTGGACGATCCAAAGACATTGGCAAGAAGGGCAAACCCTGGAAAGGAAGTGGCAAACGGAGCCTGTGGTCTGACACTATGGCGACAGGCTTTGTGAGGAGATGCTGACTGGAAAGAAGGTCCGCTTCGGCGATTCAGAACATGCTGATGGAGAACATGCTAAGCTCAACAACTTCCCCGAATGGACGTTGGAGAATGCTGACAACTTCCACACCGTCAGGGGCCGACGTGTATGCGGCCTGTTGGTGGATCCTGGTGCTTCGTCAGGACTGGTTGGAACAGACACCCTGAAGGAGCTGATGGAGTCAGGGATGATACCTCCCGATCGAGAGGTGAAGTATCATGGGGTCCTTCAACTGCAGTCACTGGCATCTCAGGCCAAAGCGATGACACCCTGGCAAAGGTGCCCATTCCCTTTGGAGTTGGAGAAGGTGTGACAGCCAGTTACACTGCAGATCTCATCGGTGGATCTGGGAGCACATGCCCAGCGCTCTTGCCGAATCCAAGCTTGCGGCAGATGCGCTCCATTGTCTCGACACAGTGGTACGACAATGGTGATGGTGCCATGGTTTGCTGCACGAGCGGCCATAGACCTGACCACCCCGATGCAGTCCTGGCGGTGATGAATCTTCTCTTGGCCGCGAGTGGACACTACATCCTGCCGGCGAGCAAGGAGGACCAGAAAATGACTGACCAGGAAATGGATGAGGTGTTGAAGATCTGGAAGAGACCCTGCCAAGCGACGACACTTGAGCAGACCCAACCTATGGCCTCGACATCAACTTCATCTACTACCACTTCTCATGGGGACACTCCTCAGCCGAACTTGCAGTTCACTGCAGAAACCAAGGAATCCACAGAGCTGAATGCCCATGCGGAGACCTTGGAGAAGAACACAACAACCTCCACTACACCTCAACAAGATCTGCGACAAGTGGTCGAGGATGAACAGCCGATCCAGGTGCTTTTGGGTGAGATCCACGATGAGGAGTACCCTGAAGGCGAAGCTGAATATGGCGGAGATGTTTTCCCTGGACATCTTCCTGAACACTGCCTATACGGTATCTCCAGAAGATGTACCGAGCTGTGCCTGAGGAGTTCTACACAAAATCGAAGAAAGGTCCGGTGACACACAGGAATGCGCGATCATGGATGCGCAAGAGGAAGACCACTCGCTTCCACTTCTGGGAATGGTGCTCTGGATCAGGCAGATTGAGCCTGTTGGCACTTCTTTCAGGACTATGCGTTCTCTTCCCACTGGACAACCAGTATGGCTGGGACTTGGCTCATCCAGAGCATCAGCGATTGATCACGGAGCTGGAGATGGACTTGGGCGACAGCGAGCCTGACGTGCTGTTGGCGTCGCCCTCATTCGGCCATGGTCAATCGCCAGTTCCAAAAGAGACCTCAACAAAATAACCCAAATGGAGAGAGATGCAGAGATGCCGGCCCTTGACTTCATCGAGAAGAAGGTCAAGCATCGGTCGAAACGGAAGTAAGGCAACATCTTCGAACAGTCTTGGTCGAGTGCTTTGTGGGAGCACCTTCATGACGTTCCAGGAGATCAACTGGATTGAAGTCTGACATCATGCTGAAACACGCAATCGCACGCTGTAGAGGACATCTTGGCAAGAAGCATGGATGGCTTCAAGGACCTGTTCACCGTCTGAATCGCACCACCTTGGCGGCAGCGTATCCCTCTGGAATGTGCCGCGCTATCATCAAGGATGTGAAACGCTTTGTGAACCTCAAGTCGCACTTCGTGGAGTCCTACTACAAATGCGAAAGATGCTCAATGGGTCGAGCGGAATTGGACAGCACGGAACACTCTTTCATTCCAGGAGAGTGCCGATACGCCAGATGGCCTGAAGGTGATGATCCCCGAGACAAACGAAAGATGATCAAGGAACAGCAGGAAAAGGACTACATCATGGGGAAGTTCAAGAAAGAGGCTTTGCTGAACGAGAAAGTGATGCGTGGCAAGCTGGCGGCACATCACGCCATCTCCTTTGACAGCGAACAGACTGCCATCCTGAAGATGTGCCTGGTCAAGCTGCTTGCCGAGAGCGTCTCAAAGTGTGAAGAGTTGGGGAAGAAGAAGGGCCAGCACGACTATGTGCACTGGTTGGAAGACTCAGTTGCACTGAGCTGGGGATGAAAAGGACCCTCAAGGAGTACCTCGATGTGCATGGAGTCCTGGCCTGTAACCCCGGTCAAAGCCTACACCAGCACCAATGCTATCTCCTGAACAATCTCCACTACGACTGCTGCTCTATGGCAACCTCAACAGCTCGCCCAAAATACAACCCCTCTCAGGAAATCAGCGCCCGGACCTCTTAACATCTCTGATGAACATGTATCTTGTACTGCGCTTGCCACGGAAAATGCATCTCTACAGATCGATCTTCTTCAAAGGTCCCACACCTGCCAACGCTTTTGAAACTCCTACAAGACCCTCACGTTTTGCTCCCTTTTGACAAGGTGCACAATCCCCTGCGCCTGCCACGCAAAGCGGCATCTGAACATCCAAAAGTGGTCCGAACATGTGGTGCTTTCAACATTTTGACTTGGAAATGTGCTTCGCGCCACAACGCTGTGCACTTTTGAACATGTCATCTTACAAAAGTGTTCCGAGCATGGCGTGCTTTGTCCATTTTGACTTGGAAATGTGCTTCACCACAACGGCGTTCACTTTTTGACTTCTCAACTTCCAAAAGCGGTCCGACACTGAGGTGCTTTGTGCATTTTGACATCGACATGTGCTTCGCGCCACAACAGCGTGCACTTTTTCGACATCTCAACTTCCAAAAGTGGTCCAGACCTGGTGTGTTTTGTACATTTTGACATCGAAACGTGCTTCGCGCCACAGCGGCGTGCAGTTTTTGGTTTTTCATCTGGCAACATGGCTCCGCACCCGCCGCTTTAGCGAGCCTACTTGTCGACCCTCCGGAGCCACAAATCATTGGAAAAACACCGTATTTCGCGACTTTGCTACCGTTTCGCGCACCTGCATCTTCTTTCTTTTGACTCTTTCTCTTCTCTGATCTTCTCTCTTCTGCTCTTCTCTTCTCTGACTCTTCCCACCTCAGCTATTCCATTTGTCCATATTGTCGGAAGTTTGACTTCTAAATTTCCTTCGCTTAAAAATTATATTAATATGCCTCTCGATTGTATTTGATCGTATTTACAAAATCGAATTTAGATAGTAAATATTGCACGACTTTGCTCATATTATGCTCATATTTATTTATACATGGAGGGATACCATTGATCATATTTGCAGACAAAAGAAATAAAACTTGTCAGGACGGTTAAAAAATTGTCGAGGACAGAAAAACCCGACCTTCGTAGGAAATAAGAGTTCGCGTTGTTTGTGTGTATGTTAATGTATTTGCCAGCAAGAGACTTGCTCAAACTAGATTTGACACAACTTGGCAACTGTGTGATGGCCAAAGTCCAAAGCACAGGTTTGATATGAGGACCTTTTGCTTGGAAACTCCGCCGAAAAGATTCCATAGCTTCCCGAAGAAGGTTTCACATCAGAATATATCAGAATGATGAGTCTGGGACAGTCTAGACAGTCTAGGTCACGTTGCAAACATCGGACTGGTTGTTTTCACTTGTTTGTTGGTTTCATTTGGTTTCCTATTATGTATCCTATTGTAACTGTACCTTGCCTTCCGTCAAGTTTTTATCATTTTCCTCGTCCGCAGGCTCAGCCCCCTTTTTCCTTCCTTTGATTTAATAGGATTTAGCACGTTGCCTCAGCACGTGTGCTGCACGGTATACCCAATGGATTGGTTCGGGTTGCCAATGTGTTTTTTGCCCAGGCTTGCCCGCAAGCGACTGCTACACACATTCCGGAGAGGCAGAGTCTGGATGGCCTTCGGTTGGTGCCGAGTGATAAAGGGAGCAAAACCACGCGAAGCCGCAGAAACAAACAGAAATGGAAATGGACTGCTCCGAAATGCTGTGCATTTGATGTCTCGGCCTTCGCGTTCACTTTCATGTCCACATGGAAACCACAGAAATCTCCGGGCCTTTGGGATAGAATCCCGAAGATGGGTTCAGATTCAAGGGAGAGAAATGAGACCAACTGAGACCACGTGCAAGTTTCTGTGAGTGTCAGGTTGAGACCCAAATTCAGGGCCAGCTTGCTACATACTACACGTATTTATCTACTTGTGGCTGGAGTCGAGGTTGGCATGCTGCGAAGCTGTGTTCGAGCCACCGTTTTTCTCTAAAATTATGTGCTGATTTGAAACCCCGTTTGCATTGGCAAGTCACCGTACTATTTGGGAGAAATTCCAGGTCCAATTTTCGTTCTATGGTTTCTCGATTTTTGAGGATTCTTGTCCTTGCATTCGAAAAAATCCTTACCCACGTTTTTACCTTCTTTGGAAAGACTATATCAATCTATATATATATTATATATCGTTTTGCTAATCGGCTCTTGGTCACTGCGCAAGGTCGATTCAACCATGGTGGGCGCGATTTAATCTCCATTGGCGCCTTCGCCCCCTACGCAACTCAGAGCAATGAGTTGCAAAACTCTTAGGAGACAATGGACATCTCAAAAGATGGAAATGCTGGATGCTCGAAATGGGGTGGAAGATGAATTTGAACTTTGTAGGGTACAGTTAACACAGTTAGTTGAGCTAACGTCCGACATTCCTGTTTCAGACATGCTGTTGCAGGTATTTGGTATTGACATGTATTGACCATTTTTTAAAATTTCGACATGTTGACGCTGAATTCTCGAGCCCAGGATGGGGCAGGGGATGGAACCAGCATTTCCTTCAGCCTGAGCTACCGAACCTGGGTCCATTGCTGAAGGAAAATTGCTAGATAGAGAGGAGTGATCGAGACATCGAAAGCCGATACAAACCTACAGTATATGGTGTGCATTTTGGAGTTTGGGCCGGCACGGCGGTTGCTGTGTTTGACCATGGTGAGTCGCAAATCCGACTGCAACAACACCCAAAGAACACATAGCTCCTTTGCATAAGTTTTGATAAGTCCCACGTAGACGCCCCAGTTCACTTTGCTTTGGAGCGTTATTCTGCATTTGGGAATTATGGACAGAAACCAAAATCTGACCCGTTGTTATTGATGCGTTCGACCTGGCAATTTTTCCCATTCTATCCCTATTTGAGATGAAGCATGTCACCCAGGGAAAAAGACCGCGAAAAATTGATCAAACTGTGATTGGATCAGAGTTGAATTTTTGCCTTTACAAATCAATTGCCCACTGAAAACTAAAAGCGGACCAATTTTGGATGCATCCGACATGCTAGTTTTACACATTCTAACCCTACATGAGACGAAAACATTTCATCTGCGGACAAAGACCGAGGTAAATTGATCAAACTGTGATTCTAACACGGTTTTACAACAACTTTCTAGCCCATTTATGGACGGCAATTTGACACGTTCTAACTCTGCAGGATGAACGGCATCTTATTCAGGGAACATGTTCTAACGTAAATTGACCAAGAAAGATAGAGGTCTGATCCGTTTGCAAATCGGTCTGGGTGGCAATTTCAATGCCGCAATGTTATTCGTTCTATACGCCCCGAAAGGGTATGAACACATTTCACCCAGGGAAAATGGGCCGATGTAAATTGATCAAACTGTGTTTGGACCTCTGTTTTGAACTTGTTGAGAACCTCACTATGGACAGAAAAGGAAAAACACCAAGTTTTGACGCATTCAAAATGGCAATTTTACACATTCTAATGTACATGTGGGTGCAGACAGATCAGACAGAGAAAATGGACCGAGGTAAATTGAACACGAAATGTGAAATTGGAGCCACTTTTGAAATCATTCTGGGTGGCAATTTCAATGCGGTAACTGCATTTCATCCAGGAAAAATGGACCGATGCAAATTGATCAAAGCGTGTTTGGATCACTGTTTAACTAAATTCTACAACCCGATCATGGACAGAAAAACACAATTTCAAGAATTTTGGCAATCCAAATAAGCTTCGGTGGTATCCCCAACAGCCGCAATGTTTTATTTTTACAAATCTTTCTGAAGCGTGCTGCTAAGCCAAGCACTGGAAACACCTCAGCTTGGTTTCCATGAATTAAATGGCCGCAAATCTTGTTGAACATGACCTGGCTCTGCACCAAAGCCTCCCAGACTTTCTCCGGAACCTTCTCCGGAACCCTGTTGAACCTGACCTGGCTCTGCACCAAAGCCTCCCGGAACCTTCTACGGAACCTTCTCCGGAACCGTTTCCGGAACCCTGTTGAACCTGACCTGGCTCTGCACCAAAGCCTCCCAGACCTTCTCCGGAACCTTTTCCGGAACCCTGTTGAACCTGACCTGGCTCTGCACCAAAGCCTCCCAGATCTCCGGAACCTTCTCCGGAACCCTGTTGAACCTGACCTGGCTTTGCACCGAAGCCTCCCACACCTTCTCCCGGACCCCTGTTGAACCTGACCTGGCTTTGCACAAAAGCCGCCCACACCTTCTGCGGAACTTTTTTTCGGAACCCTGTTGAACTTGACCTGGCTTGGCACCAAAGCCTGCCAGACCTTCTCCGGAACCTTCTCCGGACCCCTGTTGAACCTGACCTGGCTCTGCACCAAAGCCTCCCAGACCTTCTCCGGAACCTTTTCCGGAACCCTGTTGAACCTGACCTGGCTCTGCACCAAAGCCTCCGAGACCTTCACCGGAACCTTTTCCGGAACCCTGTTGAACCTGACCTGGCTCTGCACCGAAGCATCCCAGACTTTCTCCGGAACCTTCTCCAGAACCTTCGTGGCTTTGCACCAAGGCTTCCTGGAACCTTCTCTGGAACCTTTTCCGGAACCCTGTTGAACCGCACCAAAGGCTCCCAGACCTTCTCTGTAACCTTTTCGGGAACCCTGTTGAACGTGGCCTGGCTCTGCACCAAAGCCCAGACCTTCTTCGGAACCTTCGGAATCTTCTCCGGAACCTCGTTGAACCGGACCGGCGCCTGCACCAGTGCACACCGGAGCTTTTCTGGGCTGAAGACCCCATTAGCTTACGCTGTTGGGGAAAAACTCTTTAACCCGAAAACGCAGCTTGGAACCAACCCTAAATACACGCCAAACAACTTTAAAATTAATTTTTAAACAAACCTTAAACAACACAATGCCAAACCAAACCTAAACAAATCACAAAAAAACGAAACAACACTTAAGTAAACTCAAAACAAATCCTAAGTAAACCCGAAGCTAACCTAAAATAGATTTATAAATATATTTTTTAAAACAACACCAAATAAGCCTTAAACCAACCTTAAACACATGTACACCTTGAATCCCAAATAACCCCGCAACCAACGACATGTCTTATCTATATTATGCCATTCGTTTCTTGTCTCTCTTGTCTACCTTATCTATTCGAGTTGATCTCATCGGCACTTATATATGTCATTTGTGTGACCTTATTTTATGTGTTTTATCCGAACTTTTTTCTCATCTATTTCTTTATTTTTAATGCTGATGTAGTTCCAGCTCATCTCTTTACCATTCTTCATCATCCCTGGTGTTGGAAAGACCACGTGCATGAAAGATCCAGGGTGCTGCAAACACCATGTAAGATCATCTAGCCCAAAAAAACAGAAAGTAACCAAGAAAAAAGGGAAAAGACGCAAAAAGTGAAGCCCCTTTGCTTTGGCTAGCTTGATTGTTTGTGAGTTGGTGAACGGATTGCTGTTTGAGCCACTCTCGTACCTCTTCTGAGTTCGGGTCATGGTTCCAGAATGCTTCAGAAATTAATGTCCTTTTCGCTGCCATTATTGTCTTTTGTTATTGGGGTTGAACGAGAACGACTCAAATCGTCCTCCTTGGTCAGACTTCCCCCGACCTGTGAGATTTTTGATGATCTAGTTTGTTGACGAGTTTTTCATGTTTTCAGATTCCTTTGGATGCCAGGGTTCTATAGGGCTCGGGGTTTGTTTATCACAAGCATTCACAGATTGGTTTTGTGGTTTCTGAGGTGGTCGATGCCAGCGTGGATACAGCACAAATCAATGATGCCTTTGCATTGATCGGCCTCACCATGGCTGGTTTTCTTGGAATGCGACGTGGCAGATCAGGCATTATTGATGTGCTAGCAGGTAGCTGTAAGTAGCGGATAGGAACAGCATAGATGTCATGATGTGCTCTGTAGAATGTGTGGGTAGTCAAAAGCCGACGGATCTGTGTCTCATGCACGAAAACAGTGGAACAAACCTTTGAGGGAAATGCCGGGATTTTTCGGAAATAAAATGAAAAATTGGGGAGAAAAAGAGCGGAGAGGGAGACGAACGTGACGAACGAGACGACACTGGCAAATTCAGGGAGAAAGAAGAGCAACCATTATTTTCGATGACTGTTGTGTGATGTAAGATCCTCTGTGAGATATTCTGCGATTATGGGACTGTTTTCTGAGCTCCGCTGTTCCTAAGTGCCATCGGAGTGATCACTTGCAGCGTGGCTTGCTGCCTTATGTGCTGCATGAATGACCCGGGGGGTGGAGAACAGTGGAGAAACTACGGGGAAGGGAACAGATTACCAAGATATACCGAGTGCACGAAGACAAAGTGGAGCAAGTCTACACGTCCCCCCAATTATAGAATCGCAACAAGAGTTGAGCAGGATCCACAGATGAAACATAATAAATGGGCTAACGCCCTGGTGCCGCCGACCCCGTTTTTGAGGGCCATGGTTATCCCGTATCCCATGTTATCCCACATTCTTCTATATTTGTCATTTGTCCCATAGTTATTTTCTAGTGATTCTGTCGCTGTTTCAACATGAACAGAAGATGTGGCTCTTTCGTTATAAGTCGGTTTATAGCCACAGGTAAGCTAGTTATGAACCAATGCGGCTATCATGTGAGGGCCCGATGCTATAGCATGTATATGCCTGCATACAACCCCACAGCGGCCAGGCTGTGAGATGGTTAGGTCCGTCAGCAGCACAGTTTGGGCCATACATATTTTGGTAGTGGGATCATCTAGCTAATCAATAATGCTGTGGCCATTGAGCCAATAGAAATTCAGTTAGCCACAAAGGGTGGAAGCTGGAGAGGCTTAGGCGACAGGCATGGCCAGGAAAGTTGCAAAAGCAGGTGCGGCAAAGGGTGGAAGCTGCAGGGGTTTTTCAGGCCCTGGTGACAGATGCCATCTGGCAGTTTCGAAACGACATAGAAACACCATTTGGCAACAGACGCGGCCAGCAAAAGGGCAAAGGGTGGAAGCTGGAGAGGCTTATGCGACAGGCATGGCCAGGAACGTGGCAAAAGCAGGTGCGGCAACGGGTGGAAGCTGCAGCGTTGTTTTTCAGGCCCTGGTGACAGATGCCATCTGGCAGTTTCGAAACGACATAGAAACACCATTTGGCAACAGACGCGGCCAGCAAAAGGGCAAAGGGTGGAAGCTGGAGAGGCTTGTGCGACAGGCATGGCCAGGAACGTGGCAAAAGCAGGTGCGGAAAAGGGTGGAAGCTGCAGGGTGGTTTTTCAGGCCCTGGTGACAGATGCCATCTGGCAGTTTCGAAACGACATAGAAACACCATTTGGCAACAGACCCGGCCAGGAAAATGCAAAAGGGCACCTTCAAAACGCCACACAAACACCATTTGGCAACAGACGGGGCCGGGAGGGTGGAAGCTGGAGAGGCTTAGGAGACAGGCGTGGCCAGGAATGTGGCAGAAGCAGGCGTGGCAAAGATGGAAGCTGCAGGCAGCAGACGCGGTTGGCAACAGACGTGGCCAGGCCACGGCCAATGTCGCACACCTGCGGTGATCCCAGGCGCCGCCCCGCGTAGGCTAAGACTAGGCTGGGGTCGGCAGATATGTAAACCATATACCAACAATGCATTATTTCAAGGATTTTTTTTGCCTGGGCCGCGCTGCTGAAGATTAGCTACGAAAATAGATTACATTAGATTACATTGGACTCTTGGACGATGGTTGTGTCTGGTAAGAGTAGCTGTCAACGCACAAAAGCAGAGGCGCCAACTCATACTTAATGCATGCTTAATTAATACGAAGCCTCTAATATTTCATATATTGCTCAGACAAACCAGCCTGCGGTGCATTGCAGCAACTCTTATGCAGGACAAGACCACCACAGTGATTCAGCAGGCGAGATGCTTTGCGCGGCTTGCATTTGGAAGGACTTCCATGGAATTTGGATTTTGCGACCCCTTCTTGATTACATTAGTATTCTGTGCTGGCTCTTGAATCATTGCGCGCCATTGCTGGCACTTGCAACACGGTGCCATCAATAAGTCATCTGAGTTTTTTCGAGGTGCCACAGCAACAAGGCGGAACAGCAATGGTGGTGGGACAGCCGGTAGCGGGTCAGCCTGTGATGGCGCAGCCTGTGATGGCACAGCCTTGTCCAGCATAGGTCTTGGTGCATCAATATCAATGTATGACATGTAAAAAACCAGATGTGTCGTATTTATTCCATTCTCAAAGGAGATGGAAATTTCATCAGAACTGGAACATTGAGGGTTGCCGGCCATGGACGGCCTTTCGGAGAGAAGCAACGCTGCTTTTGAGCGGTCGCTTTCTCAGATGCTTCAAAAATTTTCAAAATGTTTCAAAGATCTTCAAAAGATGTGTTTCCGGATGTTTCCGGACAAGAAAGGCGCCCGTGGTGGGCTACCAGGGTCCAGGCATCCCAGGCATCGGCATTGGCGGTGCGGGAAGATCTCCGAATGGAGCCGCGCTGCCCATCAGATGCAGTCAGACATCGGCGTGACAGTCGGCAGAAACAGTAAGATGTAGAGAGATGATGAGAGATGTAGAGAGGAACTGTATGGAACAGTGACATACAGTGACAGTCACATTTCCAAGTTGCACTGTGGAGTTCTCGCCACTTGGGAAACCTGTGCCCGACTCAGTGGCTAATGTCGAACAGCGTGTGATAGCATGGTTGATGCGTATTCTGTTCCTGATGTCAAGGAAACACAAAGTTTATCAAAAATAGGTGAAACGTTGTAAAACTACTGTTCCCAGCTCGCGTGAAATGCTCGCATCGAGGGAAGGCAAATACGTGACATTTTTCAGCCTTCGAATGTCAAGAAATCAAACTGTAAAATCTAAAACATACTCATTATGACTGGACCAAGTGGGTCACAAATTTGTTTCACAAGTCCACTAAGGTGCGACTGAACTAGGAGAGGCAACATATCACCTTGCAGTGCACCAGGAAAGGCGTTCAACCCCCTGACATGAAATAATTGTTCGTGCCCGACAATTCCCATTCAATAGTTGGAACGGAGGAACGTGGAATTTCATTGACAATTGGCCCATCAGCACCTTACTTGCAGCACGTATTTGTTCATGATTCATGCATGATTGAGGTGTTGAAGTGCATGGTGTGGGGGTGAACGGAATATTCGGAATACGTCTGGAAATTCAGTGAACAATTTTGCCAGCCTTTGTGTACCGTTCCAGGATCAACAAAGCCACAAAACACGAATCCAAAAACCGTTTCCGCAACTCCACAGAACACCATGATTTGGATAACAAGAAGTGCTGGCTAATTATGCATGTCAAAAAAGACTTTGCAAACATTCATAGGAACGGGTGTAGTTGTGACTAGGTGTGCGCATTGATTTGGATCCTGTTGAATCTGTCATTCTGATGCCAAACCACCTGTTCATTCACCAAAGCCCATCGCAACAAAGACAAAACACAGCACAGTTTCGCAAATTCAAGAAATTGCATATCATCAGTGGTCTTGGAGCCCTATATAATTCAACTTGATTCGAGACTTGATGCTTGGCAATGTCGCGATGTTGCTGCTGCTTTTGTGTTGTGGCCTGAGACATGCCGTTGCTGATGTAGCAGGCAGATTTGGCAGAACGATAGGGGCATGAAGACGCAAAGACCAGAAGATGATACAGTAGAAGGCGATGACAGAAGATGGGTCCGAAGACTTCAAGCGGACAGCAACGCTCATTTTTTTGTGGTTTGTTGTTCGGTAAATTTTGTTCAAGTGTTGCTTTCCTCAGCACTCATTTGTGTTCAGTTGGTAAGAGCGCTTTGCATTTCATCATTTCAGGTCTTCATACGATTTCATCTTTGCATGTCCAGAGATATCCTGCAGAGATCCAACGTGTCAAAGCTGACCTGCGATAGGCGCCGAGACAAAGAGGCAACGAGAGACAACCTGGAACAATTCACTGAGCCACTTGAAGTCAAAGCAATACGAAGACAAAAAGACACACAAGACTCATGTTGAATATTTTTGGAAAACCACTTATGACATGCACATCTTGTTTTCTGTTGCACATGTGTACCAGAATGCCGTATTAAACTACATTGTATACATTTGGATATTTGGGTGCGTGTAATTTCAAGGGATCTAAAGAAACAAATCCAAAACAGTACTTATTTTCCAATAGTTGCCCGTTGTCCAGTCTGACGTTCATCGCAGTGTTTCATCGCAGTGTTTCATCGCAGTGTCACCGTAGTGCCACCTCGACAATCAGATCCAGTGAGTTGTCAGATTTGTCAATGGCGTGTCTTTTCGAAGTTTGAAAAAGTGACTTGTAAAAGATTGAAAAAGTTACTTCGGGTTTGACAAACTTTGACGTTTCACGGGAGGCCAGTGCCACAGCCTCTGGGGCCAAAACAATTGGTCTTCTGGCGCTCAGAGGAGCTATCTTTGGAGGTGCCTCGATGTGGAAAAAGGCGAAACAGACAAAAACAAAAATGAAGCGAAGTAAAACAAATTTAAACCAAATGAAATGAATACGAGGCATGAAGAAACATTTTTGGATCACAGGGTTACCAAATGTTGCCGGCAAGCAACAGAGAAGCTTTCAAACATCTGCGAGTTGACCCAGATGACATATATAAATAACTATAAATATTATAAATAGCACAGACGGAGTGAGACTCAAAAACCTGGATCATGACACCGTGTCAGAAAATGTTACAGCGAGGGCCATTTGAAGACATCCAACGCAAACGTGCGAGGTCCCTCATGACTGGGTCTTCAACGGGCCCATCGGCACTGTGTGTGTCGCTGGCGATGACCGTGTCCGGGCAACTCCGAGCCCTTTAAAAAGTATCATTTCGAAGCCTACATAGAAGCAGTCTGACCTGTTGTTAGTTACTGTTAGTTGCGGACAAAAGATTGAACACAGTTATTGGACGTTTTTGGGACAAAGTCACAATAGTCATATGAAACGGAGGGCGGAGGCGCGGCAGATGTCGAAACCTGTTTTTGTCATGAACGCCTTTGCATCGAACGCGCCCTCAAGAGGATGTTTTGCAACATGAATAAATTGGCCAGATATCTTCAGATGCCTTGAGAGATATTGGAATGTAGCGCAAACTAGAAGTAACCCCTCCTTTCAACCATTTTCAACCAATTGTTGTAAAGGACGTGCTTCTTTGCACCATCATCGTGCTATCACTCGCCATGTTAGCAGCGCTTGCCTGGTTCACATGGTTTGCGCTGTTGGCTGTGGCTTCATGTCACCCGGGGACCTGGGATGGAAAGGTCATTATGAATGAAAACGGCGCGGAGTTGCCAGATCTCTCTGGTGAATGGACAGATGCGACAAAGGACACCTTTCAGCTGCGAATCTTTCAACCGGCAACTGAAGCTGCTGCAGCTCCCAACAGCAGCTATGCACGGCTGGTGAGTGATATGGGCAAGATGACGATGGTCGAGGTTTGCAAATTGACTCCAGTCTACTCTTATGAAACTCGCCATCGGATCAAGACCACCATCCGGTGTGAAGCCACAGGTCTAAGGGAGAGACTTGGACAGGCGAAAGCCAGAGAAGGCGTGGTGGAAACCGATGGTCACGACCCAAAGGTCACATGGCCACACGGGACATCGGGGACATGGCAAAAAAGCGTCAGCTCACCCGCCTCACGCAGCCACTTTTCAGAGCCCAAGATCCACAAAGTCCACGTGGTTTTTATGAATCACTACGACGTGGGATACACAGATTTCCTGAATGGAGTTGACAATACGTACATGCACAAATACTTTCCATCGGCAAGAGCAACTGCGGAAAAAATGAAAGCCTCAGGACTTGGAAATTTCACCTACACCACCCATCCGTGGCTGATGCAACGCTTCCTCGAATGTCCTTGCGCCGAAGATCCCAGTGGCTCCTGCTTGGCCAGGAATCTCAACAACACGTTTGAGCCACCCTTGAAATGTCCATCAGAAGAGGAGGTGAAGAACTTCTCATCAGCTGCAAAGTTAGGAGAAATTGCGTGGAATGCCGCGCCTTTCAACATCCAACCTGAAAATCTCTCGCCTGAGCTACTGCACGCGGCTTTTGACCTCACTCGTCGTATGGATCGGCGCTTTGGGCGGCCTTCGACTCGCACCATGAGTATCCGCGACGCCATCTACGTCACCAGAGCCGTGCTGCCACACCTCGCCAAGTACAACATCACTGGCCTCACCATTGGATCCAATGGAGCAGACTTCCCTCCACAGGACACGGCTGGACACAAGTGCCAGGATGTTCTCGGGCCAATTTGCGTGGAATTGGAGTTCCACATTCAATGCATGTCGAATCAAGCAAAACCGATCAATCGACCCATACTTATTTGATCTTATTTGAAATGTGTTCATGAAGTTCTTTCTTTGATTTTCTTTGGCCTTTTGTGTGCACTGAAATGGAAGATCTGGTGGCTTGAGCTAAAGCTCTTATATAACAGTATTGCCTCTCGTGCTTGCTCGTCCTTTATCATCTTTTATCATCCTTTATCGGTCTTTGATCGTGTGTGTGTTTGTGTGTGTGTTATTTTGTATTGTTCAACGTGCAAACCTGGGCAGGCACCCAAGCTACATCGATGGATTGACAACACCACCAAGACGGACATCATAGTGGCTTACCATCCCTATGGCTATGGAGGTTATGGCTTGAAGGATTGCGCTGAAGCACCAAACGGTGTTGCATTGTGCACGGAGTTTCGAACTGACAACACAGGGCCACCTGCCAATGTCTCAGAGGTCATGGGCATCCTGAACAGCGTGGAGAAAGAATACCCAGGCGCCGAAGTTATTGCCTCAACCTTTGATGCATTTTTTGAGGACGTGCAGGTAATTCGCGACCAGTTGCCCACGGTTTCTCTTGAAGTGGGTGACACGTGGGTTTATGGAAATCCATCGGATCCCTTGAAGATGGCGCAGTATCGGGCCATCCAGCGAGCCTGGATCAAGTGCCTTCAATCCGGCGAGCCAAGATGTCAGCCATCTGACCCAGCCATTCAGAATATGACCTTCTTCTTGTTGAAGGCCCCAGAGCATACCTGGGGAACTCCCGGGATCTCTGGTTGGGGTGGTGGTGATGACTACAACACCAGCAAGTTCCATGGAGATCTGTCGAACGTGACTTTCATGAAGGCTGCAGAGTCATGGGCAGAGCAACGGATCTTCAACGAGTTGGCGGCTCGTGCCCTGGAGACCGCGCCGCACCCATTGGCCAAAGTGGTGAGAGAGGAGCTGAGCATCGTCGAAAATGTGAAGGAACCGGACACCTCCGATCTGAAGGAACTTCCGCTACAAAATATTGTGACATTTTCCAGCGGCGCGCAGATCCAACTGGGTTCTGATGGGAGTCTTGTGATGCTTCGCTTTCCGGGTGGAGAAGATTTGGCTTCACCGTCCGCGCCATTTGGCGGCTTTAGCTATCAAACCTTCAACGACACCGAGTGGAAGCCCTTCACGTATGCATTTTGGAAGAAATTGGCACACGACAGGGCATTCTATGGGACCATCTGAGGCCAATTCTTTCCAAGTTCCAGACCTTAAGCCATCCACCTTCATTTTTTCTCAATCTTCTTTTTGCATTTTTTGGTATTTTTGGGTCATGTTTTTCACTTTTCGGAGCCAAGGCATACCTCAACGACCATCAGATGCAAACCGGATTTTGCAAGAATGGCTCAAACAATTTCACCGAAAGTGCTACTTGGAGGCCAACATTGGCTCGACTTTTTGAGCAGAACAGCAGTGGCGAGTTTATCCTGGCAGAGATGCAGATGCCACAGAAGCCGAGCTCATCTTATGGAGCTCCGTCCAAGATCTATCTGAAGATCACAGCGGCGGCATCAAGTTTGGATCTGACCTTCACTACGATCGGCAAGCAGCCGACAATGCTCGGAGAGTCAAGTTCCATTTCTTTTGTGCCTCGAAGTACACATGTGTCAAAACAAGGTCATGGCAGTGGAAGTGCATGGAGGTTGATGAAGTTGGGTCAGGAGATTGACCCTGAAGGAGTTTTAGATGGTGGGAATCAGTTTACTCATGGTGTGTGGGGTGGCATCTCTGTGAAAACCGCGCGCGGAGTCTTGACATTGGATTCACTGGATGCCATCAACATGAACCCCATCACTGCAGAGTTTCCTGTGGGAAACCCACTACCTGCAAGCTACCAGGAATCGGTGGCCAAAGCTGGCAAAGGCTTAAGCAGACTGGTGGCCGGGAGTATCAAAGGTATGGCAGTGAACCTTCACAACAACTTGTGGAATACCAACTACCCGCTGTACTATCCCTACTATGACGGCCGTTTTTGTGAGACTCCCTTGAAGTGCAGGAACAGTAACTCTTTGTTCCGAATTCATTTGGAGTACAAGACAAATGAAATTGTCATTTAAACGATTTTGAACCAGCAAAAGTTTGGGCTTCCGCTTGCGACGCTTTTGAAGGCGACGTTGCGGGTGGCATGGTGATACCTTGTGCGGAGTATGAACAAAATGGGGCTTGCCTCGACGCGAAGCTTTGAACCAAAGCATAGCAAAGCGAGGCATCGACAAGAAGAGCAAGATTTGAACATGTCAACCAGGTTTGCTGTGATTGTTCAATAGTGTTCATCTTGTGTACATTCCTTCCAGATCCTTCCAGACATGTAAGACGTGCCATGGGAATCCATGGGCCATAGGATGCCATAGGATGCCATAGGATGCCATAGGCCATGACGCCATGTGATCCAGGTGGGAAAGTCCACGCTGCTCAGCCTGTGGGCCAAGAACCTCTCCACCGAGGTGCCTTGAGGGCCTTGAGGGCCTTGACTTCACGATGGGCGGCATGGGCGGCGGGTCTTCCAATGTCTTCGAATGTTCTTTGAATGTTCTTCGAATGTTCTTCGAATGTCTTAAGTCAAATGTCGAAGACCCAAGATGTCCTTGAAGACCTTGAAGAATCACCGAGAATTTAATATCGAGAAGACCTTGAAGATCCTGTGAAATATCTTCGAACATCCTGAAACATTCCAATGAAGATTGTCCTATTGATGTTCTCAAGATGTTCAAAGTTTTCGTGGAATTCAAACCCAACATGATTAGACAGCAAAGTGAAACTGTGACGGACCGTGACGGAGTGCACTCGGCTGAAGGGCTTTGAAATCCCAGAATTCCCTGCTGGCCACACGCTCCAGTCTCATACTAAAGGCGTGGAGCACAAAGAACAGCTTCAGGAGTGTTCCATCGACCTGTCCGGTCTGTTGGAGAGAGTATGTCCAAGTTGGCTTTGTTTTGCCCAAGATACAGATCCAAAACGTTGGATAGAGGTGGATAGAGTTTTTATACTTCAAATATATTTAAATATCGTAGAATGTTCATATAGAATCATCTAGAATCAGAATGAATCAGATAATATTTACAATCACATACATGCTGGATCCTATTTGTGAATTATGCCCGTGTCAATCAGCTCTGGAAGCCATTGCACGGACACTGAGTGTGGTGTAGGATGAGATGTGGTCCGCCTTTGTTCGTGTCCGCCTGAGCATTTCCAGGTCTTTGGTCAGCTTTGCTGCGTGCAGAGGACCCGTGACAAACGGTCACATGCAATTCTGATGATCATTCTGTATTAGTGTTTGTTTATTATTGTATGATATTCTATGAATATTCCATTATTGAAAACAGTCCTTGATGATCCTTGATGCCGGTGGAGAATATGGGGAGTTCTGCAGGACACTTGACAGTTGAAGTGGAGATCTGCCCACTTCACATGTTTACCATTGAATCCATTACGCCAGGCAGCTGACCTACCTTTCCACTTGAACTTGTGCGACTCCCAGGGCCTGAAAACAACAAGCTCAAGCTCACAGCTGCAACAGTGGAGGCCAGGCTGTGGACAATCCTGCGCACATCTGCGCACAATGTTGTGCGAAGTTTTTCTGGTTCGTACTTCATCCATCTTCCTCCTATGTATAATATACTTCCGTTGATTTCTATCTTTTTTCTGGCCGCTTGCTCAGAATAAAATAGCATCAATGACTCAGAAACCGAACAGCTTCAGTTTGCACACGACAGTTAAAGAATTATGTATCACTTGGAAATTTGCAAACTTGGTTAAACATGGTTAAACCTGCTTGAAAGGGTCACCACAGTTTTTGTGAAACCTCACGTTCGTGGCACTGGGTCTTCGTGCCCTTGAGCTCTGTGCTTTCTCAGAATAGGCCATAAGCATCTCAGGTTCGCGTGCCTTGTATTTTTAAAACGAGCGAAAGATAGTGAAAGTGTTTATTTGTCATAGAACAACTATATTTGAGGGCGCATCCCATTCGACACTTCTGAAAAGTGCAACATCCGCACATCCCCGCGGCATTTCCACAGGCTGCATGCCGCCAATGTGTTAGTGCCACAGGTGCCCAGAGATCAATGCGTTCACAACAGTTTGACATCATGTGTTATTTGATGCGTTCATAGCAGATCTCCCTGCTAGATGAGTTTTAATTGATGTTTGTTGTTTGCTGATGTTGTTTCCTGCATTTGGATGTTTTTTCCCGAGAGCGTCTGAGGGAAGGGTTCTTCTAAGAGCGGAGGTCTGCTATACATCTTCACATGTTCACATCTTCACATCCTCACATGTTCACATACTCACATCTTCTTTCTCTTTCTCTCTCGCCCTTCACCTTCACATCTTCACATCTTCTCACTTTCACATACATCTTCACATCTTCACATCTTCACATCTTCACATCTTCATCTTCTCCTTCTCTCTCTCTCTCTCTCTCCCTCTCTCTCTCTCTCTCTTTTCTCTGTCTCTCTCTCTCTCTCTTTAAAAGTGCCTGTGTGTGTGTAAAAGCGTCTGTGTGTAAAAGTGTTTGTGTGTGAAAGTGTCTGTGTGTGAAAGCGTCTGTGTGTAAAAGCATCTGTGTGTAAAAGCGGCTGTGTGTAAATGCGTTTGTGTGTGTAAGAATGTCTGTGTGTAAAGGAATCTGTGTGTAAAAGTGGCTGTGTGTAAAAGCGTTTGTGTGTAAAAGCGTCTGTATGTAAAGGAGTCTGTGTGAAAAAGCGTCTGTGTTGAAACGATATTTGCGTAATAGTGATTTATGGAAAAGCGTCTGTGGGTAAAAGTGTCTGTGCGTTAAAAAAAAATGTAAAAGAGCTTGTTTGTAAAGGGATCTGTGTGTAAAAGCGTTTGTGTGCGAAAGGGATGTAAAGTAAAGTACTTGCGTGTAAAAGTGTCTGATGTAGAACTCTTTGTATACTTTTCGTCGGTTTTCATCTTAAAGCATTGACATGTTATCCTTTTCTTCTCGTCTGCCTACAATACATCTTTAATATATGGTCTTGTAGTACATTGTTTTGATACTATTCTTCTCGTCTGCCTATCCTACATCTTTAAGTATCTTTAACATATTGTATTGTAATATATTGTCTTGATACTAACAACAGAAGAACTTGATCCTTTACGCTCTCGGGCCATCCGTCGTCTAGTCTGTCACTGCAATCAAGAGAGTGAGTAGACGAAGTGGGAAAACCATGGATGGTGTCAGGAAACCTGTCCCTGTTGAAGTTAAGACATCAGTGATCATCAGTGCTTGCAGGTGCTGGTCTATATGTTCAAAGACGTGCTGAATCTCGACCAGCTGCGAGATTTAGCTCGCTTCGCACATCTGGTGCCTGTGGGATGCAGCTTTGAACATTTGACCATGAGTAAAGAAAATAGTATCGAACATCGACATGATGTCGCCAGGAAATCAACGGAAATCAGATCTAGTATGAGCACAGGAGTCTGACGCTGTCCATTTGTGTTTCCGTTGAACCAACGATCCGGTTTTGAAAACGGGAATTCCGGAAAGTGTCCCATGTCAAGGCTGGTTTTTTCCATCAGACATCAAAGTTTTGATGCACACCATTACAGATTGTGCAAAGATCACTGAATAAATTCGGGATATTTTGGGTTTGCAGTGGCGCTAGACATCACTAGGCTATACTAGACTCACGTTGGCTTTGGGTTACGCGACGCCTGGCGTCTGGCGCAGTTTCAGAAGTTGGGCAACAACTCCCAGCGCTCTGAGCAGCTCCAGCGTTTTGGCCGCCTTTCGCCGCATCTCATTGTGCTTGTGACCAGCCTCAGAGGATATTCCGGGCCACGGGATTTCAACATATTTCAACCACTAAGAAGAACATCTATAATATCATCTAATAACATCTAATAATAATGTTTGGCGGGGCGAGAGGAAGCTAAATCTTTGGCGAAGAGATGGAAGATGAGACTCCAGTACCCCAAGGCCCAGACAAGGATATCACTGATACGGGTACTCATGGCACACATCTGTGAATTTATGTGAAATGCCATGGTGGATTATATGTTCTATTATGTTCTATTTTCCATATCTGCACAACACGCACACATGCAATAACGTTTTGTTTATCTGATCGACTGTCTGATTCGCGTGTCACTTTTGCAAAAATGCATTGCACTGTGCACAACTTTTTGTCACTGCCACAGTCACGCCCATGCTGATATTGAGAAGGTCAGGTCAGCCCGCGAATTTTACTGTATCTTGTGAAGTCAACCCTCGGGATCGCTATACAATCTTGTTTCATATAGTTTATCTTGACTCATCCCTGGGATGAGAGTGGAATGAAGTGGTTGGGCCAAAAATGAACAGCATGTCCCTCCGTGTTATTTGGTCGTTTCATTCCGGAGAAGGAGACGGTGATGGATCAGTGCTGGGTTCTCCCATGCCGTTCCATTGCTTGAGCTTTCTTCCTGAATGAAACATTTCATCCCATCACATCATATCAGGTGCCCTCAAAAAGGTAGGACAATTCCAATCCTTGGCGTGTCAAATCAAGAGAGGTTCTTGATGTACTGTACCTTGATGGCCTTGATGTAACCTGGCGAGTTGGTTCAAGAGGGGTTACAGCCATAGGCGGTATATCTTGGGGTTGACAAGAAATGCCATTCTTGGGCTTTGCAGATGACTAACATTGACTAACCATGTATGACCCAGACAGTCGCACAAATTAGAATATCTTTTGATCCCTTGGCCTGTGGGTTTGACGTTCTCATCCATTTTTTTTGAGCGGTCCATAGCAAGAGCTTAAGTGCGATGCTTAGCTCCATCTCCCGGGTCTCGAGGTCCGAGATGACAGCAATCTGATGAATGATCTGAACGGCGGCAACATTTCTAGCCATTTGGACCAGGCTGGAAATCAAGTTACACGCAGAAATGCCAGATGAGTTGACACGTAAGTTTAGGGATGCGGCATGATGCGGCAGCATCAAGATCGGACAGCGCTTTTTTCTCAGTGCTGAAACACCCCTGGCCGCCTCCCACAAACTCCGTGATTAATTCCCAAGGTTGAAAAAGATTACTTTGGGCACATAATCGATCGAGAGTTGCCAAAAAAAAGGACCAGAACCGATCTTAGTGGTGCCGGCCACCTAAGGCTACAGTATATCCATCCAGCTCTAGAATTGAGAGAGCTTGAAAGGCGTCTATTTTGATGACACGCTCATGATTCTTGGATAGTTCCACCATATTTTTGTACATATTACCATCTCTCGCGTTGGGTCACGTTGGGTCTCTAT